GGTCACTGTGATCTTGCATCCATCTCATTCTCAGAAATGCAACATCTAAAGAATATAAATATCCACTTTGACTCAAGGATGAACTGATTAGATTTTGGTGGTCATAGGTCAAAGGTTAAGGTCACTGTGTCTTGTCTGTTCTCGTGGATACGATATCTCAAGAACACCTTGATGGAATTTCTCAAAATCTGGCACAAACGTTTACTTAGACTCGATGAACTGATTAGATTTTGGTGGTCATAGGTTAAGATCAAGGTCACTCTGACCTTGTGTGTCTCAGTGTGACCTTGCATCCATCTCATTCTCGTGAACACGGTATCTCGGGAACACCATGAAGAAATGTCTTCGAATTCGACACAAATGTCCACTTGGAAGGAAGAATAAACTGATTAGAATTTGATTGTCAAAGGTCAAAGTCACTGTTACCTCTTAAAACATGTTTTCAGCTATAACTCAATAATTCTTATGCTAATTATGACAAAACTTCACAGATATGTCCAACAGGATAAAATGATTAGGTGATGGCGTTTAATGTCAGAAAGATCAAAGGTCAGCTTCACTGTGACATCATAATGTTCTGCAGGAGACACTTTTCTCGCCATTACTCAACGTCATATCTCAGGAACAGAAGGGAGACAGTTGGTCAGATACTGAATTGATGACACTAATCTTGGGTGTCCACCTTGAAACTGTGGTGATTGTATCGATCTTCTGTGCTGCCGGAGGGAGGATGTGTGTCAGGCATCCATGTTTTTACAGACATGGATATAAACTGTAAGAGAAACTTGACTGGTTGACCAGAGGTGTACAACCGTGGGGCAGTAATGCTAGTTTTAAATTTGTCTTGTAAGGTGTCAGAAGTGCTTTGGAAGGCACCTCAATAAAATTCATTATCTATAACATCTTTCCCAATTCATATGGAGCAGTTCCAGACTTCATACTTGGTCACAGATTTGAGTTTTAGCACTCCAGTTTTTAGATTTGGAAGAGAGTTGTCCATGTTTCCTAACACTTTTGGACTGTCATGGACCACAGGAATGACATGTATGAATTTTGAAGTGAGCAAGGTTTGTTTTCTTGTTTTGTATGTATTTAACTTGTCATGCCTGACTTGAAGATCTGTCATTTTACCCTCTTTCTCTGACAAGGACCAAAATTGTAAAAGGCTTCTAGTTTTTGTGTTTTTATTCTTGACAGTTTTATTCATATGTCAGGACTGCGTGTTTGCAGTCCTGTGGCTAGTTTTCGTATTGTCAGGTAAATCTATTTCTAAACCTCAAAACCTAATCAATAGTATATCACTGAAAGGTTAATATGTCAACCATTGATGTTTAAGCTCCAATATACTCTGCTATGAATGATGAATACAGCTTTAGATGGACTCCTATAAAGCCTCCACTGCAGTTTAAAGAGAGAATCGGGATGTGTACTCTGTACTTTAACGTTTAATTTAAGCTGTGATTACTGTGAATAGGCACACCGTTACAGTGTGATAGCATCAGCACTCCAGCCCAGCATCCAAACACAAACACTTGAGTACTGGAGTAATGGAGAGCCACAGCAGGGCACAGTATAATCAGCGACACTAGAGCCTCTGTGTACCCTCTGTGGCACTGCTTTGTTTCTGAGTGCCCTCCATTTTCAGATGAGTCGCCGCACTTGTATTTCCAAATCCAGCGGCAATGCACCTGCCCCATTCATTGCTTCCCTGACACACTTTCCTTGCATTCTGTTCAATGTGTTCACAGCAGTTTAACATATTTTACACAGGCAAAGAAATATTATATTAAAATTAATACACCTTGGCTCTGGAGATGCTGTTCCTAATATCTAGCTTCTCCATTTAAGAGCACCATGGGCACGTTTGGAGTAATGATCTGATAATAATGTTAGGCTGAGACTCCTGTATGATCTTTATATTATAACATTTATTACTGGGAACAGATTATTTCCAATCTGATAGAAGCAGATAAAAAATAAGAGCGGAATTAATGACTCTGCAGCACAACAATAGTACAGCACTGGTGTAAATCTGTATGTGCATTAGTTTCCATGACGGCACGGCACCAGTTTCCATGACGTCTCTGTGCCTTTGTTGCGTTCTTGAATGACATTTTGAATGACATTCCTCACTAATGGGTGTTTCACTACCGCTAGCCTTTTTATAGGTAGCCAGATGTGGCCTGAATAGTGAATTTACAGTTTGGCCTTGGTGAAATTTACAGACACAAGCAGTTACAATTCAACAGGGTTTAAGACCATTCAAATATGAAGCCATTTGTGGGTCATCTTTTTCCAGCAGTGGGAAAATAATGTGTACTGTATATGACTTGAGTACACTTTGCTCATATACAATATTTAAATGTTCACTGTGTAGGATATAGAGGATCTATATTGGCTGAAATGGAATATGATAAGGTTTTCTTTAGTGTATAATCACCTGAAAATAAAAGTTACTGTGTTTTTGTTATGATAGAATGAGCTTTATATCTACATAGGGGGTGAGTCCTTGTCCACGGAGATTGTCAAGTTGCACTGGCCCCTGTTAGCTCCTGTGACGAGCATGTCGGGAAACACTGAGTGTCTGAGAAAAACACATATGTTTCGTGCTGAACAGTGTATAAGAAACACTGATTTGTAAAGTAAAACTGCTTTATTAAGTGTTTTAAGCAATTTTAATCACGTGGTCCGTTTGTTTAGGAGTGGAAGAGACCTCTGCAGATAATTTGGCTCCCAATAACAACCTCCTGAACAGTGAACACTGATGAAAATCTAACTGGGAGTGGCGTTAGTTGGTTGCAATCTGCAATTCTCACCACTAGATGTCACTAAATCCCCCTAAATCTTACATGCCATTCCTTTAAAACAGAACATCAGTCCCCAACCTCCATTACTAAATGTGGAAATATTCAGATATTAGCCTTTGAGAATAAAAGAAACACACATTTTCTGTATGCTGCTTTTCAGTCAGCCATCATGAGGTATGAATCACAACTACAAATTCCTGCACTGTTCATTATAACACATCTCTCACACGATGAAGCTCCCAATCATTTCTCTTTTGTCAAAACTGTCAATGCAGACTGCCAGTCACCTGATGAAGAGAATCCACAAAAGCAGTTATGGTCAAATCTCTAAAGAGCTGAGCTTTTACTTTAATTGAGCTTATTGTGAGCTGGCACAGCTAAGGAGTCTGAATGGAGCTGCACTGAAACTCCTACGCTCGTCGTGCCTTTACCTGCACTGCTGTTGCATCTGTGACGTGACTAACTCTGAGAGATGGTGGTGGTTCCATTTGTGAGAATATAACAGTAATTCAAGCTGGGCTCCTTCAGTCACTTCTACTGTTCTGTAGTGTTTCTCATCTCTCTTGGACCACAGCTGGGGGATTGACAGGATAGTATCAGAATGCAAATAAGGCCTTCAGCTTCTTCCACTGTGCGCCACTGGAAGGTTATACATCCACAAGTATCTAAACAGGGACATGGAATATACAAATCCTTACATACTGGACTGTTAGGTGCCATGATACTAAATATTTTATTGTGGCTGGTAAAACAATAGAAATAGAATTCAGTTTATATGCACAAAAACTGTTTATCTCACAAGGTGTGTGGATGAGAGCTTCAGAAAGAGACCTCTGGTACATGTGCCTCCCACTCACTCCTGTTTGGTTTATCATGCTGTTGCTGGCTTGCAGCTTGGCTTTTCATATCAGTCAGATTAAAGATACTGGCTGGTGGCAGGGTTGGAGAAAAAGCAGAAGATGTGAGTTTGTTTTGGGGGAAAAAATCCTCTAACTCAATATATAAATCATAAAACCTTCAGCGTCCAAAGTGTCAGCGTTGATGAAAGAAAAGCCGTCACCAGTTTGCAAAGAAAATGGAGGATGCACAGACACATAGGTGTATGGTCACGCGTTCTCTTTAATATTTAGGACATGCATTTGTCACCCACAACATGAAAGAAAATTATGTGTTTGATGCCCCGCGTTTCACATTAGTCCACCTCAATGCTGAAAAGAAACACATGCCCTTGCACAGATATTCCAATAAGCCAAAATAAAACACACACAGAGTGATCTGCGTTTCTGGTAGTTTCATCAGTTGTTTGTAGCTGGAAGGTAATGCTCCTGTGCTGTGCAGTGGTCATCACTGTTTGATTGTGCCATGCTTTCCGCACACCTTGTTCATATTCATGTCTTGTGTCATATCGCCTGCACACACGTGAATTTGAGGCAACAGCCAAAATTGGGAGGCTGTTTTTGTGGTGGTGTGCGCAAGCCAGCCCATTCAATTGTGTGCGCTCCTGAGGGGCTGTGTGCCTGTGAATCAAATATGAGGGGATGGATTCCAGCAGGGAAAATAGTCTCTGCTGATTCACGGCACGAATATCTTAAAAAAAAATGCATACATAAAAGAATAGAATAGAAATGGACTGGATGACGTCCGCGAAAATATTCCGAAGTGCCAATCTTAGTTTGGGAAGTTATCTCCATTGAGCAAAGTGCACCATGTGGCTGGCGTAGCATCATATGTTTCCTCAGACATGGTCACAAACTCTTTAATTACGCACTAGTGAAGAGAACCAAACTCCATGGTGTTTCCACTTCGTTATATCGACGACACAGATTGTGGGAATGTTTTAAAATCATAACCTGGCTCCTAACACAATGTGGGATGGCAATAATTGCTTGCAGAAGTAATCTCACCACAGCAAAGCTTCACCTTAACTCAAACTGACCAATGCGTAATTCACCGAGTGTCCAGGCTGCGTTTTGTGAAGGTGGTCGTGCGCTCTCTCGTGGATTTTCTTGGACACTGTGCTCAGCAGGAAAGCGACGCTTTTCAGAGCATACATACATGGGGCTGTTGGATGCAGTGTCCATCCGCCTGGCACCTGTTGCTGGCTTTTTATTTCCAACGCTGGTCTGTTGAGGATTTAACATCGTTCAGCATCACATCGGGACCATGTCGGTGGAACAAACTGACTCCAACTCCAGCCGCTACTATTTTGAGAACAGCTCAACTCGAGTCCAGAGCAGCTTCGTGTTTTCGGGACCCATGTTTGTCATTTTGATGGGGATGATGGTGACTTTGGTCGTTGTGATAGTTTTGGGTAACGCACTGGTCATTTTGGCCTTTAAAGTGGACAAGAGTTTGAGGAGACAGTGTAATTACTACTTCCTGAATTTGGCAATATCAGATTTTCTTGTAGGTAAGTCCAGCTTGTCTTTTTAAAGGAACCTGGAATAGCAAATATAAGTTAGAGATAAGGCTAATTTCTGTGTGCTATAATGTGCAATGATTTATGCATTCATGCTGATATATGACTGATGATATCCTTAAAATATCTTTGATGCTCCAGTTTATGACTGTCAGTCTCTGCACTCTAGATGTGTGCTGCTAAGTAGAGTAGTTACATTCATAAATTAAGCAGCTGCAAACTAGTTCAATGAATTGGACCACCAATATATATTTAGAGTGCATTTTCCTTATTTGGCAAGATCACTGCTAAGTTCTTGTACATGTGCAATCTCTCTATGATCTCCTCTGTCACACCCGCTTATCACTATTTGCCAACTTCCTTTCTCTTTTAAAGTACAGCAAGATAAATATAGATTTTATGAGATTTTACTTAAACCAGCCCCCCTTTTTTTAATCATATGTGAATTTGCATCACTGGAAATGTATGTCAAATGTGTATGCTTTGGTTTCTGACCCCCTTTCCAATTACTGTTTCTGCAGGTGCATTCTGCATCCCGGTCTACATGCCTTACATCCTCACAGGCAGGTGGACGCTGGGCCGAGGGCTGTGCAAGCTGTGGCTGGTCATGGACTACCTGCTCTGCTCCGCGTCCGTCTTCAACATTGTCCTCATCAGCTACGACCGCTTCCTGTCCGTCACCAGAGCAGTGAGTGGAACATCCTGTGCCTCAAATGCACCTGGCCATTATCAAAATGAATTAAGGATTGTGACTCATATATGGAGCACATTAGCCTCAAAATCTCAGTTGAATGTCATGGTCAAATGAAGGTAAAGCAGAGTGTGTGGGATGTTTGGAGTTCACTCTAAACTTGCTCGGGATCATTTGCTGCTCTCAGTGTCAACGCAGACAGAAAACAACTTTTTTATTTCTATAAATTTGAGTAAAACCTTTAAAAGTATAGCCATTTTTGCTTTTCTGTTGCTACGGGAACAGCTTTGGCCCCCGTTGATTTCCCATCAGCTACTGCATTAACAAACATTGCAACAGGAAGCACAAAGGGGCCAATTTAAAATGTTTATGTTGTTAAGTTAGCAAAGGTTTGTAACAGTGACGCTCTTTACAGCATGTGGGCCAAATCTGGCTCTCCATAGGATGCTGACCATTTTCTTACTTACAATGAGAACAAACGGGTTCACAATGGGATTTTCTTTGTACTGTGAATGTAAATAAGGCATCAAAGCTTGTGCACTGGCTTCTAATTGCTGTGATTTTCCACACGTAGAAGCCCAGCAGAGATTCCAACACACTCTCCACAGATACAAGTGATGAGTTGCGTTTTTTACTGTGTTTAAATTGTTAATTGTAGCAGGTTGATTTCCATGGTCCAGTATGGCGATACCAGTGAGGATAGTCCAATAATAATTACAGGTAACAAAAGAAACCTGAGACAAACAAAATGGTTAAAAAACTGTTTGCTGGCATCTTCCAGAGCTCACTAACTAATGTGACACACCTGCAACACCATCCTAATTATCCACACTCAGTAGGTGAGTCAAGGTTTCAAAATAAGAGCACTTACAAAAATCCTACGACCTGAACTTTTGTTTGGTATGCATTTTTAATTTCTCCTAGCTATTTGGGATCAGCAGGACCTGATAAAGTATAAAAACACTAAACATTGTCAACGATAATTAAGTCAGTGTCCACAAACGAGACAACAATAAAGTCCAAAGTCTTTAAACGAGAACTTCCTAATTAACAGCGTCTTAGCTTGTTACAGTTTCTAAAATTGGTCAAATTTGTTGCCATATTAAACTAAAAACATCATTAGTCATACATAAACAAGTCTCAACTATAAAATGTGATCAGGCTTTGTCCACTTTTGTATCAGGATCGGCTGCAGACTGACTTAGCAGAGATGGCCGCCATCTTGCTCTTACATGGCTCAGTGTATTGTGCCCTTACTACAACTAGATGGCACAAACAAGTGTCCACAAACGAGGACAGCAAGTTGAAGTTAAGCAGAATGAAGTAAAAGGTCAAGTAAACCCAAAATGTGATGGCCTTATGAGGACACAGGATATAGCCATGTAAATAAACTAACGCTTAAATCAAAAACACTTTGGGTTCAGCTGCTACCTGTTAACACAAACAAAAATGACTCATACAGCTTGTTTATCAAATAAAAATTCAAGTGACTGGACTGGATGCTCCTGAACCCTCCAGCGCACACCTGACCTGCACTGCACTGCTTTGACTGGATTTGCCTCTTGGCAAAGATGAGTGAGGACAGCAAATGTCAAAAGGTTGAAAACACAATTTATTTTATATGCAGATGACTATTATTAATGTCTGTTTATTAGCTGGCCTCCTATTATTTTGCAAAAGTGGCCCTCAGGCGAAGCAATTTCTGTATCGGTGGTCTATAATGTTAAAAGCTGAAGCGCCCTTTTTTCCTTTGTAGCCATACAAATGTTCACTGCTTGTGGTCTGTGGCTTAATTTCTGACTGGTGAGTCTCCCAGGTCATTGGTAGGGGCAGTGCCACCTCATTCTCCCAAATGTGCCCATCTGCAGAGGTTAATCATTCCTGACCCATTCAGGCCCAGTGCCACCCCTAATTATAGCCCCTTCCCATGACGAAGATTAAAAAAAAAAGTCACATTTCGACTTTGGGACAAACTGAGCTTCAGAAAATACGCAGGATGTGAATAATTTAACATTTGATGTCTAAACTTAAATATATTTCCACATCAGCAGATTTGAGTAATTTATTCTGTGCTGATGCAACTGTGTTCCACTGCTTTGTTTTTCTGAGACACAGTTGTACAGCATCAGTAATGTCCATTTTCTATTTTCTGCCTGTCTTGGCACGTTAGCATATATTTCCAAACCTCTGCAGCTTTTAGGCCCATTGAACCTCTCGTCGGGCTTGTCTGTGCATTAGCCCACTGACTGTACCTTATACACGTGTGTTAACTCAAAGGTGGGACGAGGCTTGGCATAGTAGACAAAGGGAGTGTTCTCTTCCCTTTCACAAGCAAACACTTAACATCAGAGCAATGAATACAAATAACACCAGAGAGAAAGAGAGCCTCTTCTTTAATTAGCTAGCTTTGATCATAGAGATCCTCCTCCGTGCCATGGTCCTTCCAACCTGGAGAGATCAATCACAGCAGAAACAGGCCACCGGCTGCCAAGCAGCATTTTCCTAAAAGCTTTCTCTCTGAACATTGAAAGACAAAGGATCGTCACCAGTCACAGGACAAAGTTTGTCTTCTGAAAGAAAACATGGAGTCAGATTAGATGCATATGTTTGGCAGTTAGATGAAATGTCAGCACATTAACAACATTATAAGAGTGAGCTAATATTAATCCCAGAGGGACTCAAACAATATCAAAAGATATGCAACATATCAGATTGGATTTATCAGCACTTCTGATTCCTCTCAATTGAGTGCAACATCTCTACGTGTTGCACTCAACCTGTAGAGATGCTTCGCCACATGAAGCAGGGGCAAGAATTGGCATACAGCCAATGAATTTATACAAACCTAAGTGGAACCATTTTCCATCTACTATGAAGAAGAGCTGCAGTTTATTTTTTGTCTTTCAGAACAGGGGCATATATTCAGAGCAGCTGGAGAGGGTGTAAAGTACGCTGCCTGCTGAACAAGAATGTGGACAGGGACACAGGATTTGAAACTAATTGAGACAAGTGGTCATGAGAGGTGCTCCATTGACTTAACACTCGATCACACACTTTTCTGCAGTGCATGATGTTGGAAAGTTTATGTTGTGTTTCTCCTCCAAAACGTTCTGTGATTTCACGAACATGATTATTATTGTTACCTTTCTCAGTGACAGCTTACCAGGTCCGAGCCGTAGTTGGCAACACGCTGGCTCATTAACGTTAATTTTAGCTCGGCTCATTATTTGCTGATAACTAGCTTCTAGCAGTCCTGACCACTCTGCAGAGGGAAGGACGGCAAGATGTTCGCCTGCCGTTCACAACAATGGCTATATTGCAGTCTTCACCACAAAACAATAAACATGGCCCTCTCATCTAGACATTTATTTCTACTGCTATCATCACTATTGCATGTGTCTTCGCCATGACACCCCGAGAGAACTGCTTCCCTCCTTATACCCCATGAAACACACGTCACACCCTCACAGGCTACCAACAAAGCCACCACCTTTAAAGGAGAAAAAAGGTGAGCCGATAACACTATGTATCTGTTGAAAGATGGTCCAGTGTTATTATGTAAAACTCACAGTTGTGGGCTCAACAGTGTCTCCACGTTTTAAGGGATCCACTGAATGTTTTTTGTAGACATGGTGGTTTAAAGCTATGACTTCTGGTTGATGTGTAGCCTCTGTATTCATTGTACCACTGTGCTGTGATTAGTTCAAGGAGAAATTAACTCAGACGCTATACAATACTTTTACTTCACGCTACTTTCCCAAATGTTGTGCTCTCAACTCTACTTACCCCATTTGACAGCTATTGGTACATCACTAGTTACTTTACAGCAGTGGTTCTCATCTAGGGTGCTTCAGGGAGTTCCAGGGGTCCCCAGAAGAATGGGGAATAGTTTACTTTCACTATTTAATTACTGTAAAACTTCAATTAAAAGCCTAGTCCCAATTAAACACCCAGTCCCTTTAACTAGCCTGATATGACTACACATTTTGACAAATAAAGGCCTGTCTCAATTAGAGGCCTGGTCTGGTTGCCAAGCAGCTCATTTTTTTGACAGAAGTTATTTAGATATATACAACCAGGTTGTTGGCTACCTCAAATTGTACGTCCACTCCTCCATTACCCTACCCTGGAAATTCTCGCGAGAGCACAATTTGAATTTGCTCAGCAAGTCACTCTGGCAATCAGTAATGATGCTCATTATCCATGCCCTTGTAGCCGAGCTGCACCAATCACATCGGTGTATCTAATATAGGCGGGCCAGAGGCAAGCTAAAAAGATGACGACAACACTGCGACAACGAAGTCCGGAATCAGTCAGTAAACATTGCAAGATGGCTACAGATGAACACTAGTTGTTTGAAACGGCTTTGGCCGCTACAATGAACGAGTTAGACTTGGCTTTTTCTCTAAAAGAGGAACAGAAGACGGCGCTCAAATCTTTCATTTGCAAGAAGGACGTTTTTGCTGTTTTGCCGACTGGATACGGCAAGAGTCTAATCTACCAGTTAGCTCCGCTGGTAGCTAAGCGTATACATCACCCCGTGTATTGTTCTGATTGGTAGTAGTGTTATCCAATTGCATGCAGTGATATTTTCAAATGCATGCTTGATGCTGCCCCTCGAGTTGGGCCATTTTCATTACTCATGGCCAGATGAGGATTGGACTGGATTTCCAGGCTACCATTACCCTGTAAATTATTCATATTCCTTTAGTCCCTAAAGGTCCTCAGAGCAAAAGAATCAAAGGTGTTTTTCATATAAATTAATCCAAGTTGTGAGTATTGTTTTAACAGGATAAAGTGTTGCTGTGTCCGTAGGACGGGTGCCATAATCCTTGAGTGCTGTAACTCACATTTTCTCTGATGTGCTGTCTGTCGGAGCTAGATCAAATAAATGATTCATAATTCATATGTTATCTGAAGCCTAATTTTAATGCAAGTGATCTTCATACTGGTTTAAATAAACAATTTGATTGTATTTCCCGATCTTTGCTGAGCAACAGTTTTGCGAAAGGACTTAAAGCCCTGTCCCAAATATAGGCCCGTTGATTTCAGTGATTTGAGCAAAGAATAACCTATTAATTGAAGTTTTATGGTAGTTACAGAAGTGAGTGCAATATACGTTAAGAGTCATAGGAGTGCTTATTCTGATCATAGGCTTCACCTCCTCTACAGTTATCTCCTCAGCTGTAATTCACAACTACAGAATTCTGGGGCCGGTTGCACAAAACACCTCAAGTTAAGATTTTCTTTATAATCCTTAAGGTTTCCTCAAAATAAAATCAGTTGTACAAAGTCTTCTCCTTAAGGTTTCCGTAAAATGTTCACTTAAGTATCGATGGTTTTCTCCTTGTCTTGGTCTTATACTTAAGGAATCCCTAGATTGTTGCACAAAATCTGAACAACCAAAGCTAGGTAAAACAACAACAACAAAAAATTCAGGGTACCTTTTACTCCATCTTAATTGCAACATGACTGAGTTTAAGGTGAAAAAAGAAAAAACTAACACACCCCAAGAACAGTGTTCTGTGACCAGGTGAGCCTAGTAGATACGCTTTTGATTTTACACTATAAATTTGACTAAATTAATTTTAGTTGCAATTTCTTCCTACAATCGTTTTCTGTTTTCTGGTATTTGGGGATCAAATTCCCTTTGTAGTTTGTGCTTACTATGATTGTATTCTTTCAGAAGTATAACTTTTACCTCCTCTGACCAATATGGTTTTCTTGTCTTGTTTTCTTCTGCCAATTTTTTCACTGTCTAACTATAAGTCAACTTTGTGAGATGATTACAGGTGTCACAAGTGTGAGTCCAAGCAAACAAACAATCTCTAACCTTTTTTCTTAACTAAGAAAACCTTTGAAGGGCTTCTGTTCAACTGTCTAAGTCCCTCAGCTAAGGAGAAATTAAGCTTTAAGTGTCATACTTAAGGAGGAAACCAAAGGTGTTTTGTGCATTTGGTTCCTGATCTTAATCATATCTAACAACCAAAATCTTTTGAGGTGTAGGACACAAGAAAAGTTTGAGAACCACTGCTTTACAGATAATTATTTTACATACACAACACGTGATCAGCTCATGAAATATCATCCATGTTTAGAGATTAAACACATAAAAGTATGTAAAACATTTAAATTAAGCTCCATCCCGACCAGCTGCGACATTAAAATGCTGCCCACACAATAATGCATCACTAATAACAATCCAGTTTTTAAGCAAATGGTGCCTGTGTGACAACACTTTCATATGTTTAAAACATTTAATTAATATTTCACTTAAGCAAACAATCTGAATACCTCTTCCACCACTGCCGTTGAATGTACATTGCCTACCTTTTTACGGCTAAAGACAGCATTTAGGAGAATTAATTGCTATTTTGCCCTATATGTACAGTAATGTTAGGATGCAGCAATTGCACATAAACTTGAGTGACCCCACACTGGTTGTATCACTCAGTATGTTTTGTGATTTCTGCTTATATTTACTGCAGGTAAGTTACCGTGCCAGACAGGGCATGACTCACCAAGCCATAATCAAGATGATTGCCGTCTGGGTGCTAGCCTTTGTCCTGTACGGCCCAGCTATCATATTCTGGGAGCTGGTGGTGGGCAGAAGCAGCGTGCCAAAGGATGAGTGCTTTGCGGAGTTCTATTACTCTTGGTACTTCCTGCTGAGTGCCTCCATGCTGGAGTTCTTCTCTCCTTTCATCTCTGTGGCTTTCTTCAACCTCAGCATTTACCTCAGCATACGCAGGAGGAGGCTCCACAGCAGGGAGGCCCAGCTCCACCTTCAACTGAGCGAGCCCGCCTCTGCCCAGGGGAAAGGCATCCCCCTGTCCCAAAACTGGGGGTGTGGGATGAAACTGGCTGTAAGAGGCTCTATCCACTCCCAGACCTCCTCTCCCAGTTTGGGTAAACTAGATCCCTCAACCAGCAGGGCTGCCCAGCCTAGCCGTCTGTCCAGGGATAAGAAAATTGCTAAGTCCCTGGCCATCATAGTGTGTGTGTTTGCCATCTGCTGGGCACCGTACACCCTACTGATGATCATCCGTGCTGCCTGCAGAGGGCGGTGCATCCAGCATCACTGGTACGAGGTCACCTTCTGGCTCCTGTGGCTCAACTCGGCTATTAACCCATTCCTGTACCCGCTTTGCCACAGCAGCTTCCGCAGGGCCTTCAGCAAGATTCTCTGCCCAAGGCGGCATACTACTCCCCCATCATCTGTCCTTCGTGTTGGCCAGTGACGAGCAGATACCCATGGAAGGATGGGGGAGAACAATGTGCCAAAACTATGGATGGAAATATTAAAAATTCAACACATAAATTACAGTTTCAGCAGATGAGACTAAACTGTGCACCAGAATTTGTCATATAGACCATAACTAGTTTTCAATTGTGCTTTTCCGTGTTTGGATGTATAAGGTTGGTACTGTAAGGTATGATGTTATTTACAATTCACTGTCTTCACATGTAAAGTATGAATTAACATCCATCATAGGAATGAAATACTTCTCCCAACCAGGTTTCACACACTGTAACACCAAGTCTTGAATGCCATACAAGCTAGATATCATTTAACCAGTTATGTTGTCCACTTTTTTAAGTTATGCAGCTGTAATCTTGAATTTATATACATTATATTGAGGAATTATATGTAAGTGTTGCTCTCACTGTGATATCCCTGCTCCAGCTGAAGTAAAACAGATCACTATCACCCTCTGCTGTTAGAAACTTTACTGCTATTAATAATTCATATTACAGAAGCACAGTGATGAAAAAGTGCCATTAAGAATACATGTATGTAATGTGAAATGTGTTAAGATAGGTATTATATAGTAGATTATTACATTTCTCCACACTCTGAGCACATTGTCTGCACAGTCATCACCCCATGTTAAAACATAAATACCTTCTTTGCTGTACTGTAACAAACTAGAGAAACAGATTAAACATTTATATTTATTTTTAGTAATTTTGAGCACATCCATTTATGTGAAAGAGAGAAGCAATCTGTTTACAATCAATGCCAAAACACCATCTTACTGTGGCCAGCAGATGCATGTTTACTTTTGTGCCACTAGATGTCACCATTAGCCTTTACAGCTTCCTGTGTGTGCAGTGCTCCAGCATCAAGCTACAATTCATCACAGAGTGAAGTCAGTGTCTGAGACTAGCTTCACAGTTTCCATTAGCTGTTTTACTTTATTGTTCGTGTTTGAATTGTTGGTTAAATACATGCTTTATTTTTGCACCAGGACCCTGACTGATTGAAACTGTAATCGAGGAATGTAACCTAATAATCATCGGTCTATATGAAATTACACAGTGCTCCCTTTTTATTCACAGCGAGCCCTTTCACTGTCACTTGTAATTGCAATACTTAAACAGTTACAGTACGTCCAATGCTTTAGTAAATGTTTGATATGGTGCTTTATAAGTGCTGTTATGCTCTATATTTTTTTTGTTTGTGTAACTCAAATATAGGAGTGGTTGCCTAAATGTTGTCCTCATGGCTCAGAGGAAAGTTACACTATACTGTGCTTATTTTAAGTGAATTATATTTATAATTTTCCAAAGTAAACACGTCTCTGTTACTAGCTGAGGATCTTTATGCACAACATAAAATAAATGAATTAAGCCCTGTGATGCATTTTAAATGTAGTTACTGTCTACCTGATGGCTAATTGGGTCAGTGCCAAGTGCAGAGTGGCTTTTGTTTGATGTGCAGATGAAATGCTGAGAGTGCAATACCATTTTTGTATTGTTCCCCAGTCTGGCTACGTTTGATTTGATAGATTAAATGAGTTCTTTCCAGATGTAGACTTATTAGACCTGTAATTACGCCATCATGTTAGATAGTGGGGTTACATTTGCAGGTGCCTGGGTCCCACAGGGGACTTACATTGCTCAAATTGTTGCTGTTGCCCATGTGCACATCTGGGCCCCTGGTCAGGTGCTGGGAATAAGGGCACAGCTGCGGGGAACAGGCCTCTGCTACCCCCCCCTCCTCGCTCCCTCTCCGCCTGTGGCGTGGTGGGGGGACAGAGGCACACTTCTGACCAGAGGGATGCAGGCACATTTCCCTCGGGACGACAGAACTGCATTTATCAGCAGAATGGCGAGCCTGGGTTTACTCCCTGTGTATCTAAATGCGACAGCGAGAGCTGTGAGGAACGCTCGTGCTGTGTGCAGTTATATTAGGAGGACTACTGCTATTGATTTTGTTGATAGATTGAAATGTCATGGCATGTGTGCCAAACCGACTGACTGAGGCTGTGTTGCAGATCATGCCAACTTAAATTGGTCTGGGAAGGGTAGCGCCATGAAAAATACAGATGAGAGATTTTAATTATGTGCATGCAGAGGTGTGTGTCTTTTTAATCCTATTCAGTGTGTGAATGTGTTTATGGGAGGTTTGGATGTCTGTGACCCCAAGCAATGTATCTAAAAGCTGTGACCCCAAATGGAGCACACCTGTGCCCCTTAAGTTTATAGAGTCCCATTAGCAGAGACTCAGTCAGCGATCAGAGGGGGAGAGGGCCTATATAACTTCCCCATGAGAGTCTCTGAATAGTTAAACTCTTAGAGCTTCCACTTTAGCACTTTGTTAGGATGACTTAATGCTGAATTCTCTTGTTTTCAAACTGGCTAACACCTCTGGCCTACACAATGCACAATAAAAGGTGGCAGATGTGGAATGAAGCCACTGTAATGTCTGGCATAAGGATAAAACACATAAGACATTTCACACACTCTTTGATGACCAATACGCTTCACTAGTATTTTCAAGTGGAGCTGGAATATAAAAGTGAACCGCCAGACAAGACCGAACCACTTTAGTCTGCGGATACAGGTCAAAACTGTGACCTCTTTTGAAGTCATAGCATCACTTAGTGTACATCTTCCCCCCACGTAGGCTGTTCACTTTCTCAGCTAACTAAATGTAAACCGCAGTTTAATATTTCATGAGGGACATACTCAAAAAGAAAAAACAGACTATTTTCTGCTTCATTTTTGCCTTTTCCGTTCTTCCGTTTTTCCCTCTGCTTTTTCCTGCAGTGTACTTCCTGACTAGAGATTAAATAATTCCATTGGAATCCTCTTAGGATGGGTTCCCAGCACTTGGCAATTAAACAATTACATTTAATCAGCATGGGGCGACGCTTCAAGTCACCCTCATTTCAGACGTTGATTAAAAGCAATTCTGCAGTGGTTATTGCTGTCGACTTTCGAAACTGTGGTTCACTTAGGTTTACTGCATCTGTGGGGTCAGGTTGGATAGCAATATGGCAGGTTCAGTGGTGGTCGAGAGCGGTGTCTGCCTGTGGTGGGTAAAACAGTAATGATAGAACTCATGGCGGACCTTATATTGTCCCTTAAGTCAGAGCTAGTTAGATTACTTGGAGACATTTTGACCCTACAGCAAAGAAGACTCAGCGAACAAAAGAAAGGAGAGGGACATTAAGTTATGCATGTGGGAGTCCAGATGTGTGAGCGTGTGTGTGTGTGTTTTTTTTTTTCACATTACATATGTGCATTTGACTGTGTCCTCACACAGCTGTTCTGTTCCTGCATCTACATTTAGGTGCATCTGCAGTGAATGAAATGCACCTTGACATATACAATTTCATCATGCCATGCAATAACATCTCCCTCTGTGATGGCAAACAAGCTGAGAGCGGGCACAGGGGGGAGGACGGCTTTTGTGCAAGCCATATTTGACATTATGCTCGAGTGAAAGAGTGCTACGTGGCGCAGCACCGGAGCGGACTATAGTCTTCCCCGTGCAACACAGATGAGTTGTGATGGATACCCGGCCCCCTCTTGTGAAACCCAGGTGCCCCTGTTTCATAAGGCACCCCACTGGCTCCTCAGCCCTCTTAATTAGCGGCTTCCGTCAGCTGGCACCCAGGCCTTCAAGCACCAGTCACTGGCCTCTGCTGCTGAAGGAATCCAGTTCACTCCAGATCTTCAGCTCCTCTAACAGATGGATACATGGGCGGGCTGAGTGAGAGGCATCAAGGTTTTTGCAAAAACCTGTAAATCATCTGTGAATTTCCTGGTATCTACATCAGACGCATGGATGGAGAAGAAAATGCTGTTGAATGCTTCAGTCAGTGTGTGTTTCTTCGTTTAAATAAAGATGGGCAACTGCAGAGAATGGGCTGAGAGTTTTAGTCTGCACATACACTGTACCAAGACATTGATGATTTTTATATGATGAAGTCAAATATAGATAAAAGGTTTCACCAGGACTGGAATGCAGCCTTTTTCCTGGTGCAGTATCATAGCAGCGCTGTAACAATAGTCTCTTCTAATGACATTCCCCTAGTAACTTCTTGCCTCTACGAATCTCACGGGGGAAGCGCTACAAAAAGTGATAATTACATGAAATATACATAGAGAATAAAGGGAGCATGTTTACATAACCAGGCCCATAAATATCTGACGGAGAAGACATTGTTCTCCGACTCCTTTTAAGCTGATCTCCCAGGGATGCCATTTTAATGACATGATGGTTTAAAGAGATGCTGCTCCATCTCGTTCCATATTTAATTAACTTTTGCTTTTCTGACGCAGAGGAAAAACAGAATAAAGAACGCGTGATAGAGACAAACACACACGATAGCGAGGAGACAATAACAAATAGCTGGGAGAACAGAGAGGGAGGCAGGGGGAACATGAGCAGAGACCTTGTCATGCTTTTGTGAGCTGTTTACAATACAAGAGATGCAAAGGGAGGAGGAGGGATGGTGGAAGAGCGAGGGAGAGGAAGACTGACATGGGCGAGAGAGGATGGTTGTGAAGGATGAGGACAACAGGACAAGAACGGGATGCCTGAATTTATTTATTTTTTAAAAAGAGAGGGATAGAATTAAGAAAAAGGAGAAAAGATGAGACAGAGAGCGAGGAAGGATCTCCCAAGGGGCTCCATTATGGAGCATTTTTTAGTTCATCACCAATAAAAAGGAAATAATTGTGAAACTGACAGTGTGTGTTTAACCGACTTTACAGACTCACCAAAAATAAATGGAATAAACATTAACAAAATCAAAAACAAAGCCCTGCTTGTACTCTACTTTGGCATCCTTCTCCACACTTTCTCCAACACATACCAGTGTTTATCTGCCACGTGTTCATTAAGTAAACACATGGCAGATGTCAGCAAGCAAAGATTATTTCACATCAGTGTTAATGTGTACATTTACAGAGATTTCTGCTCTGACACTGAAAGCACTGAATCGTAGAAAAATCTGTGTTGCGTATGTGGCCACTGGCACTACTTGTGCTGAAACATTTGAACTGGTTTTATGACAAACTCATCATTTAACCTCTCGGTCCCCAAAGTTACTGCAGATTTAATTTTACTTAAATTATTGTTTTATAGGCTAAGTTTTCTTTAAAGTTTTTTTCCCCTAATAATTAGAATTTGTCTGAAATTATACATTAACATGAATTTCTTTTAAGCAAAGACAAAATGGTCGACTATAAAATTTCAATTAGCAGCCCGGGCTATTATTTGCTTAAATCACCAAACTCAACAGGCTTATATTTGGGACAGGCCTTTAATTCCTTTTACACAAGACGGGAAATTCAATCACATTGTTTATTTTAACCAGTATGACTGTTATTTGTATAAAGATTATGCTTTGAATAACATCAGGCAGGGAGTCACCATTTTTTTGTCATGCCAGTAAATCTAAATGAATCAGAGTCTTCTCTGGACAGAGGTAACAATAGCTAAGTTTCCACCAAAAGTGATTCGAATCATTGGGAAATGCGCATTAAAAGAATTACAAATCCTGTGTGTTTCCATTAAATGTATGGACTTTGGTGAAAACTACAAACTTGCGCGAGTTTTCCGCAGAACCAGAAACAAAACAAGTCTCGCATTCTTCTTCTTCTTCTTCTACGTTTTCTGGCAGTTGGCAACCAGCTTGTAAATGCATTACCGCCTTCCCGACCCGGAGTGTGGATATCACCATGGAGAGAGGTGTGCTCCATCAGACTTAATTCGAACATAACTGTTTCCATCCGCCATTTTGCGAATCAACATTTTTTCGAATCAACCAAAACCCGGCTAAAGCGAGCATATTTTAGTTTGTGCGAATCAGGGGATCGAATTTTGGCGTTTCCATCATAATTTTCCGATGCGATATTTCTAGATGCACATCTAAACAGGCTGATGGAAACATGGCTAATGACAAAAGTTAAAACATTTATATTTGCATGTGTATTTGTATCTAAACAGCTAACTAATGTTAGCTGGATTGTGTAGTCAATAATCTGGTTTTATACATCCAAAGAACTTCTATAAAAATTATCTGCTTGGCAACCAGACCAGGCGTCTAATTGAGACAGGCCTTTATTTGTCAAAATGTGTAGCTACATCCGGCTAGAAAAAGAGACTGGGCGTTTAATTGCATCCAGGCTTTTAAATGAAGTTTTACGGTATTTATAAACAACAAACAAAAGTCTGAAAACCCGGAAATAAGTTATTATTTTAGCACTCCTGGTTCCCCCATCTCAAAGTCAATGGGTTTTTGGTTAGATGCCTGAAATATGTCTGTGGTTAACACAAGCTTAAGAGACATGTTTTTCATGTTTTGTTCTATGACATAAAAAATGTCAGTAAATACCTATTTTATA